TAGTCCAAATGGTCCAACTGCAGATGATGTTTTGCTGGCCCAACTTTGGCATTGAAGTCATCCATGACAATTGTTAGGTCTTGCTTTTTCAACCTTTTCACGACTTGATTAATGCTATGGTATAGTTCTTCTACCTCTTTTTCTGTTCCTTCTGTTGTAGCTGCATACACTTGAATTATATTGATGTCGATTGGTCTTGCTTTCAGTTGTATGAGCATGTATTAACATGCCACAAGAAAATAGCTTTAGAACTGTTTTAAGAAACTTGCATTAAACAAAATTGTAATTAATTTTTAACCACCAGTTTTACCACACCTCACCCCATTTACCTTCGAAGACGAAGCGAACACAGGTGACACGGCTCAAGTATCTTGCTACGTCAGTAAAGGCGACAACCCTATGACGTTTTCTTGGACTTTCAACGGAAAACCGATTTCTGAAGAACAAGGAATAACTGTGTCAATGTTCGGAAAAAGAACGTCAGTTTTAAGTATGGAATCGGTGGATTGGCAACATGCTGGAAACTATACTTGTACAGTTTCGAATAAGGCAGGAAATACTAGCCAGTCTGCTGAATTGCTCGTTAAGGGTATTGATTTTAAGTGATTTATTTTTTGTTTGGTACAAATCTTTTTATTTTACCTTTACCCATTCTCACCTTTACAAATAAATAGTGGAAAACTTACTACCTTCAAACCTGAACATTTATTATACGGGGTGGCGATTTGACTATTCTCTCGCTACACTCCAACGTTATACTTGTTATGGAAAGAATTTGTGTTGAAGTCAGGTTGGAATTTGTTTTTGTCGTATAAATTAACATTCAAAATGATTTGTAATTCATAAAAATCTAAAGTTCAAATGGTTTGGAGCATTTTACCTCTAAATACTTAATGTTTTTAACACAGTGGATAAAAATTTATTAAATAATTGATGGATTGAATTCTTAAATAATCAAAATATTGAAACTTTACACAAAGATCCGACAGAAAAATATCAAAAAAAATTAAGCTAGCGTTAGAAAATTCAAAATCAATACTAAATCCAATAGAACAGAAATTACCTCAGTATCATGAACCCACAGCCTCCTAAATTATATTCTTTTATTAAACTACACAAACCGGATCACCCAATAAGACCTGTAGTTTCTTTTTAAACAGCTCCGTCATATAAAATTTCAAAAAAACTGTTGGAGATTATTTTAGACCACACTAAATTTTCACCTAAATTTACCATCAAAAATACAATAGAACTAGTTAATAAAATACAACATTTTCAATTACCTAACAACTCCAGATTAATTTCATTTGTTTGCATAAACCAGGACTACTTTGAATTTAATAATAAAATTTATACAAATAACAGTGCAGGACTTATAATGGGTAATCCTCTAAGCCCATTGCTATCAGATATTTTTATGGATCATCTAGAGACAAATATTTCAAAACATCCCGTATTCAAACAGTTTTTATATTGGTGGAGATACGTAGACGACGTACTGGTATGTTTCACAGGAACTAACAGGCAACTCGACCAATTTTTATCATATATTAATTCACTTCATAGTCATATTGAATTTACAATAGAAACAGAACAAAATCAATCCATAAATTTTTTAGATTTAAAAATTAGCAGACTTCAAAACAAACATGACTTCTCCATATTTCATAAACCTACCCATACTGACACGACTATACACAATTCGTCATCCCATCCAACACAACATAAACTGGCAGCTTATCATAGTATGTTACATAGATTAACAGAAATTCCGATGTCAAAATACAACTTTGAGACAGAATTAAATATAATTAAGCAGATAGCAGTAAACAACGGATACAACGAACAAACAATTAATAAAATGTTAAATCAAAAACTACACAAGAAAGCCCTGAAATTAGTATTTCCACCACCAGAGAAAAAACCCAGTACCTTCTGCTCGATTACATATACAGGCAAAATAACAACAAAAATTGCCAACACATAAAAAAGAAAGGAATAACACCAGCTTTCCGAACAAATAACAACCTAGGCAAATATATTAAAAATAACAAGAGCCAAAATAAAAAACACTTAAATAGTGGTGTGTACAAACTTCAATGTGGCGACTGCCCAAAAACTTACATCGGTCAAACTGGTAGAAACTTTGATAAACGAATAGCAGAACATAAAAGGGCTTTCAAGAATAGAAAAACAGATTCGACATACGCACTTCACCTTCTAGATCATAATCATTCTTTTAATGACAAATTTAAAATTCTTCACATTCAAAATAAAGGCCTTAAGCTATCTTTGTTAGAATCTATGGAAATCAACAAATTAAAAAACACAGATATAATTCTGAATGACCAACTTGAGACAAACAGTTCTCCCCTCCTCAACCTATTTCATTAGAGACTATAAATTTGTAAACCCAAGCCAAAATAGATCACTTGAGAAAGGCAATCAGCCGAAACAGCTGTAGTGATAATATTTAAAATAAATTTTGTGGAAGTTTGAAAACAAAGTTTTCAGTGTTTTATTGTTACAAAAATTTATTACACTTATTATTTCATGACCGGTTAACGTCGATTTTCGAATACAAATACCAGCTATTAACTACTAAAATCTTACATTTAAGACGTCCTTTTTTAGCTGAAAAAGTTTATCCCTTAATGTCAAGATAATAACCAAACCTACAGACATATCTGTGTCTAACTTTGTTGACAAATGGTGGCATAACAAAAATTTTCCAACTATAGTTATAGCATTTCCTAATGTTTCTTCCTATTTAGAAATCCCAGCTGAAACTAATTTCTTCCAATCTAATTTTAGTATTCTTTATTCCCAAACCAAAGTTTATTTCCCTACTTTTGATGAAAACAACGCCATTTAACTTCATAAACAACTTGCTAAATTTGATTAGCAGTATAAGATTTTCATAGATGGGTCAAAATCCATTTTGGGAGTTGTTTGTGAGGCATATATCCAAAACAATCAAGATTACATTATGTTTAAATTAAACCAACAATGTTCCATTTATTCCGCAGAACTGTTTGCAATATATCAAGCTCTGGAATGGACTATTAAGAAAAAAATGTCTGATCAACACATAGTAATCCTGTCGGATTCAAAATTTGCGTTATCTGCTTAGATAATTCACATAAGCATATATAAAAAACTCTTATTCAGTCTCCTTTATTTGGGTAAAGGGACATGGTATCTCGGGTAAAGCAAATCAGATTATTTTGCTAAAGAAGCTTCTTCGAAAGCATTAGAAATTAGTTGGCTGAATAGAAGTGATTTAGTCTCGCTGCGTAAACAAGAATTAAATTAATTAAAACTGCGAATTAAAAGAAAATTGGTAAATTGAATGGAATGCTTTATGTAAGAAGTAACAACCTTTATACAAAAATTCATCCTGTTTTACCTACTGCGCCTTTTGCTGCAAGAAATCATCCCAATAGAAGAGTATATTCAATATTTGTTAGATGCCTTGTTAATCATACTACTGTGAAAGCCTATCTTCATAGATTTAACTTAAGTGAAACAGTACTTTGCAATTGTATTGGTAACACTGACAATATCAATCATTGGATGTTCGGTTGCATATTATAATGATGCTTAATAAAGTCGCTATGAAAGGCATCTTGGTGTAAAAAGTATCCCCATATTATGTAATCCCTTGTTGGTTCTAAATATTCAATTTAAGTTGGTTATTGCCCTGAATGTAACGAACAAAAGTATGGTTTCTTGTCAATCTACTAATTCTTTAACTGATTAGTTAACAAATGCAATAGGTCAATAAATCGTTAACAAATTCAAGTAGTCAAATACATTATCCTGGCTGAATGGATCCTTATCCAAAGCCGTTAATTAAATAAAAAAAAAACTACCAAATCGTTTATAAAAACTACCCTTTGTCAATACGTAGCTTATTTTTTTTGTATATAGTAAAATGACTGTTTAGGATTAAACTTGAGAGGTCGCTGGTTAAATTATATCAGATAAATAATTATAACGAAAAATGCAATAGTGGTTGGTACACAAAATTGGTGAAAATAGCAACTATAAATTATGAATAAGTTATGAAATCAACTGGTTTACTCATTGTCAATGTTTTGTACAAAGAATTATAAGGCTTACCCTTTGGTTCTACTGATGAGTTCGTACCAGGCTGAAGAGTTGGTCGGTGGTACCGACGCTAGCGTCGCCGTCGCCCGAGGCTTAGCATGAGAACCGTCCGGAACTAGATGCGTGTCGATCGATCGTTGTCTGACGAAGAAGTGCCAATCTTGAGGGTTTGAGAGCGTTTCGGGCACAAACCACCCTCTGGTTGGATGGTCAACATCTCGTAGGCCGGGCATGCCATAAATCAACCGCTTGTTTCGATCTTTGTATTTGAATCTTTATCTTGAATACAAAGGAAAAAGCCAAATTCTCCGTATTCACAACATCATAAATGAGATATCCAGTTTAAGTTTTATGACACAACAGGAAACAATATATTTCAAAAAGGTCTTTAAAATACAGCACCAAATTAGATCACATTACAGTACCGTAACAGAAAAAATATTAACTGTAAAATTATGAAATGAATTCGCACATACTTTCCCAAACAATGACATTACTTTATTTCATTATTGTCTTCTTATTAGTAGATAATACTAACAACATCTAAACGCTTGCACTTAATTAAACAAATTTTTGTTTAATTATCCATTTTTAATCACATGGCTCTAGCACAGCAATATTGAAGTAAGGATTCGTGCATAGCCGTAGCATTACCTGTCATTTGATCTATATTATCTGACCCAACGCTAAATTCTTGTCGTGGGAATTACTTCACGAGAAGTATGTCATTTTGTGCTTCTGTGCCTCGTGATTATTGCTCTTTTAGCGATGTTGTAATGGTCATCTCTGTTTAACAATACTTGGGCCTCCCTTATATATACAACATATGTATCGAAAAAAAAATGTGTAAAACATTTAATTCTTATCATAAAAAAATTTCCTTTTAGTTTTACCACATGTTATACCGTTCGTATTCGAAGAAGAAGCAAATTCCGGCGACAGGGCACAATTGACTTGCTCTGTAAGTAAAGGAGACACGCCCATGACATTTTCTTGGCAATTTAATGGTGTACCTGTGTCTGACGATAAAGGTATCACAGTGGGAATGTTCGGAAAGAAAACATCGCTACTAAGTATAGACTCTGTAGATTGGCAGCACGCAGGCAACTATACTTGTATTGTAATGAATAAAGCAGGCAGTGCTAGCCATTCGGCTGAATTATTAGTCAAGGGTATTACGTTTTTGTGCTGTTATTCTAAAGTGTAGTTAAACAATATATCCTATAACATTTTCCCTTTGTAATATAGTACCAGACTTGCTTAATTGTCCATATAATGGCATCTAAGTCGGCCCTGGGACGACACTGTTGAACTAAGGAATCACGCAACACTCTAGCATTATCTGTCTAGCAGCAATATTTTCCTTACCTGGCTAAAAACTGCCAGACTACCGGCTTGTTTAAAAGATTGACCTGTAATGAAGAATATTTCTCATATTCTCATACATCATCGCAATTTCAGTCGCAAAAATTCTCCCATGGGCTAAAAATGTTCCACTTAGCGAGTACTTCTCATACCGATCTTCCAAAGTCTCCATAAACGTGATAAAACAAACATTAAATGTTTATTCTAATTTAAGAGACACTAATGTTTTTTCTTTGGAGATTTTGAAATGTTTATTCGAATATTTATGATAAACTAACGTTCGGATATATAAGTGGAAACGCTGAATTAAAACCATATACAGAGTCGCATAAAAGTTACTGCTTTCTGAATCAAATTAAATTAAACAATAACATATTTTTGAATCGTTACATTATATCATTTTGTGCTTCGTTGCCTCACAGCTCTTGCTGGTTTTGCGGTGTTATATTGGTCGTCTCTGTTTAATAATACTTGGGCCTCCCTTATTTTCCATAGATACAGCATCTTTATCTAATAAATTGCGATAATTTTCGTAGCGTTTTTTGATCTATAACATTTATTTCTTATCATAAAAACTATTGTTTACAATTTCCTTTTAGTTTTACCACATGTAACTCCATTTATATTCGAGGACGAGGCAAATTCCGGCGATATGGCGCAAGTCTCTTGTTCCGTAAGTAAAGGAGATACTCCCATGAAGTTTTCTTGGCAATTCAATGGTATACCTGTGTCTGATGATAAAGGTATTACCGTGGGAATGTTCGGAAAGAAAACATCGCTACTAAGTATAGACTCTGTAGATTGGCAACACGCAGGCAACTATACTTGTATTGTAACGAACAAAGCAGGCAGTGCTAGCCACTCAGCTGAATTATTAGTCAAGGGTATTATGTTTTTCTTGGTTTCTTGTTTTTCTTGTAGCTTTGCGCTGTTATCCCAACGTTTAGTTAAACAATACTTCCTATAATAATTTCCCCGTATGTTGTTATAAAACTTACATTTTTAGAAACGTAAGTTTATAAATTATTCTAATATTCAAATTGGTAAACAAAGATATTTGGAAACATTATTTATTTAATAGAATCTTTTGAATATCTTTTGCAACATTTACAACATGTTTTCGGTATCATCAAAGGATTTTTGTGCCATTTGCACACGATACGGATAGCCAATTACAGGAATCAAAGAGAATACGTTGAACGTTGAGTGCCAGGTAATTCCAATCACAACGACAGTACCTTGTAGTAACAGAACAACGATACAGAGTTGATATCAAAGTCTATAATAATAATTCTTCTTCTTATTCTTCACTGGCTTTACAACTTGGGTGAGTCTTCGCCGCATCCACTATCGCCCTTAATCCTCTACGATTCTTGCTCTTCTATTTCTCATTGTTGTACCCCAATTCTAGATAAATCGGCTTCAACATCATCCTTCCATTTTTTTCTCGGTCGGCCTACTGATCTTCTACCATCTGGTCTTTATCTGCTACTATCTTTACTTGCGCATATGTGAGTCTGTCACGCACATTTGCGTTAATTCAACTAATTTTCTTGGTATTCCCATTTCTAACATTGCTATCCACAATTTGCTTCTTTTTATGGAATCATATGCTTGCTGGAAATCTATGAAAATTTTTGAAAATTTTTTAATAATAATTGATAAATTATTTATTTATTTATCGTATGGCACTTGACACATTTACATTTAAATTTACACATAATTTGTATAAAACATAATACATATATGTTTACAAACGGACATCTAACTTATTTATATATTCTATCGACTCTGGAGTCGCCATTAGGAAATCCTCTGACCTGCCTTGATAGGATCTTGTGGGACACTGTTCTGTGATGTGACAGATGGTTTGTGGTTGTCCGCAGTCACAGAGTGGGGATGGTCGTTTACCCCATTTGTGCATCATATAACCGCATCTGCCATGTTTGGTTCTGATTCGGTTCAACATAGTCCATGTGTTGCGTGGTAAGTCAAAACCTGGTGGTTTTTGTGTGATGCAGGGTAAGCTGCTATTTTGTTGTTCCATCCATTCTCGAGTCCAAGTGGTCGTTAAGTTGAACTCATTTTCCACTGCAATCTGTGCTGTTTTTATTGGCGGTCGCCTGGAGCGCAAACGGTTACCGTTGGCAGCATCTATATCTTGATGAATTGGCAGGGTCTCGTTGCTAAGTATCTTTTGGTACTCACTAGTGAGGGAGTGTATACGCCGTAGTCTGGGTGGTGGAATGTGGCTCAGGACTGGGAGCCATTGCGTAGGGGTGGATTTGATAACACCAGCAATCATTCTCATTGTGTTATTCAATTGGGCATCTACTTTGTGTGTATGTGGGCTGTTAAGCCAGGCTGAAGAGCAGTATTCCGCGGTTGAGAAAACAAGGCCCAGGGCAGATGATCGCAAGGTGGAAGCCGATGCTCCCCATGTTGTGCCGCACAGCTTCTGGATGATGTTGTTTCTGGATTTAAGTTTTTGCGCTGTTTTTGACAGATGTTCCTTGAAAGATAGAGTTCTATCAAGAGTCACCCCAAGGTACTTTGGTGTTTTATTGTAGGCCAGTGTGGTGTTTTCGAATTGGACGTTCAGTGTTCTTCCTGCAAGCTTGTTAGTTAGGTGAAAACTGGAAACCTCTGTTTTGGTAGCGTTTGGTTGGAGCCTCCATTTACGGAAATACTTTCCCACTGTGTGTAAGTCTGCCGTAAGGATTTCTTCTGTTTGTTCAATTGACTTACACCTTGTTGCAAGGACCCAGTCATCGGCGTAACCAAACTTCCTTGATCTGGTTTCTGGTATATCAGCGATGTACAGGCTAAAGAGAAGAGAAGCTAGGACAGATCCCTGAGGCAGTCCATTCTTCAGTTTTCTTGGGGTGCTGATGTCGGTTCCCATGACTACTTAAATCGTTCGGTCGGCTAGCATGCTGTTGATTATTCGAGCGGTGGATTTACAGGAGATTATACGGAGGAGCTTGTATATCATGCCTTCTCTCCAGACTGTATCGTAGGCCGCTGTGAGGTCTATGAATGCGACTGCAGTTTTAAGTTTTCTCTGGAACCCTACCTCAATAAATGTGGTAAGTGAAAGAACCTGATCTGAGCAGCTTCTTTTCGGTAACCTGCTTGATCAACCGGTATCGATTTAAGTAGCTTTGGACTAATTCTGTTATAGATAAGTCTGTAGTTCTTGGGTTGCTATCATTTGGCTTCCCTGGTTTTAATATGGCAATGATTTCGAGTGTTTAAGTTCCTGTGGAATGGTACCGGTCTTCATAATATCTGTGAAAAATTGGGCCATCCATTCCCTCGCATATTTGCCTCTGTTAATTAGGAATTCAGGATGAATATTGTCAAAACCTGGGGCTTTACCTGGCTTAACATCCTTGAGAGCTATAGTGACTTCTTCGCAAGTGAAAGGGCGAGAGTATTCGGTTTCTGCAGATTGTAATTTTAAAGTTTTGATCTCTCGTTTTACCTTGATTGTGTGTGGCTTGTCTTTCGGGGTCCTAGATGTCCATGCCAGATGTGAGGCAATAGTGTTTGGGTTAATTGTTGTTTTGTTCCTTGTTATGGGAGTTCCGCTTCCTAATTCTTAATAGTGTCCATGCTTGCCTATTTGATGATTGAAAATTAAGACTTTCTACAGTTTCCGTCCATTTTTGTTGTCTCGCTGCATCTAGGCTATGGAGCAGAAATAAAAACTTTAAACTTCAAAAAAAACCTTTTGTAAGCCGCCTCTCACTCCTATCTTTAAACTTAAGTGCCTTTCAGGAACGTCAAAACAGAAGTGATCGGTAGTCGCTAGCTTTGAACCAGCTAAACTATGGTTGCAAACCTGAACACTTGGTGTCGCTGTTTAATACCAACTTAAATTTTAAGAATTTAGAAAATCATTAAGAGGATTTGATTTTAAAAATTTGATTTAAAAATATTTTGTTAACGGTTTTGATGATTTCATCCATGATCAAATTGAAGAGCATGGGCTCAATGAATCCCCTTGTCATATTTCGCTGCATATTTCTGTAGGTTCTGTAAGTTGTCACAAAAATTGGAAGGAAATAATGATGAGATAGATTGAACATGCTTCACTATTTGCATTACAGAATTTCAATCTAGGAAAAAATAATATAAGGCGATCAAAAAATACACGTACGGAACTGAAGAAAATGATTAAATTATTTTTTAAAAAGAATTTACAAACGTTTGAAAATGGAGTTATTTTGGTGGGCCTCCCTAATTGCTTTCTTAGAATGTTTCGTCTGAATGAAAAAGAGCTATGGCATTTATTGGTTTGCATAGTCTCATATCTCTCTTTAAGTTCCTGTACGATCTGGCGAATGATTGTGTTTAATCTAAATTTTTAGCCTACTATAATGGAGGAATATTCAGTAAAGTTGAAAGCATGTAGTGAGTCTTTCAGAGATCTCGTAAATCTGAAGAATATAAGAGAGAATTATGTTCTCGTTTGAATTATTAAAGAAATACAAGAAAGTGTGGTAGACTTGTATTAAAATGTACGATCGAACGAAATAGTCTTTATGGTAAAGAGGAAATTTCTGTTGATCCCAAAAAGAAGAATATTGAAGAAAATTCAACGGAGGTCTGTTTGCAACTGCATATACCGCTAACCTTATTGGTTCTCTGTTGGTAAAATCATATACATATTAAATATTTTATATCTTTTTTAATATTGCCTATATTATTTTTTATTTAGTGCTACCACATGTTATGCCTTTCACGTTCGAAGAAGAAGCAAATTCAGGAGACACTGCGCAAATTACATGTTCTGTGACTAAGGGCGATACTCCGATGAAATTCTCGTGGCTTTTTAATAATAAACCAATTAATGAAAACAAAGGAATCACTGTAGGGATGTTTGGAAAGAAGGCATCCCATTTGAGCATAGATTCTGTTGATTGGAAACATGCGGGAAACTATACATGTGTTGTTAAAAATAACGCTGGTACTGCCAGTCAATCTGCTGAGCTTTTAGTAAAGGGTACTATATTTTAAGAAATATTTATTCATTTAATTATTACCACTAATTTTGACCTAAAAAATACTATCAAATCTTAACTTTTTTCCCATTTTTTTCCTTCAGCAAATATTGGAGATCATATTGTTGAGATACTTTGTCTTTTTTGCTCTATTTTTGGTTATTTAATACATCGAATCTTATGCTAAAGAACATTCTAAAGAAATTTTTTTAATTATAACTGTCCCTATAAATTATGTCCATTAACTAACTTGATGTTCGTTTAATTTAAAATGATTTTAATCGGTTAGGCGCTGGAATCAATTATAAAATTATTTCCGTATATGAGTAGTTTTCGACCCTAAAAAAATAAAAAGCAACCTACGGTACAAGATCAACTTTAACGTAGAGAATTGGATTGCACTTTAATTATTGTAATTCTATCATTTCTCTCTTTCTTCACCTATTTTTTTAACATGTTTGACGACATAGGGGTCACCGATGACCACCAGCTCTGACGTCCCATTACGCCGTGGGGGTCACCGGTGACCTGTTCACTTTTCCCCTTTTTTGGTTTATTTTTGGCTAGTTTTCTGCCCACTTGTTCTACAAGTTTATAACATTGAATGACGTCTTGAATCTCTAACTTTCCCTGGTTTCGTTCCCAATTCATGTTTGATTCTTGTTGGCCGCGACGTTCTTCCTTCAGGTTCATCTTCTTTTCTGTAATTGGTGAGATACTCAACTAGAGCCTTTCTAAAATCTACAATTGACATACAGTTTTTGGCTGTTTTGACAAATACTTCCTGTGCATACTTTCTCCAGGACGAAGTTTAGTTTCCACAACTTTTTTAAGCAACCCTCCTATTCTGTTCTAACTGTCCAACCAGATGGTATCATTTTTTAATAGTTCGTATGCTAACTTCTAAACTAGTGTACCAGTTGTCAGTTGCAATTGTATGACCTTTATTAAGGAACATCCTTACACAAGGATACATTTTCTTTCTCCAGGACGAAGTTTAGTTTCCACAACTTTTTTAAGCAACCCTCTCCTATTCTTTCTAACTGTTCCAACCAGATGGGTATCATTTTTTAATAGTTCGTATGCTAACTCTAAACTAGTGTACCAGTTGTCAGTTGCAATTGTATGACCTTTATTAAGTAAATCCTTACACAAGGATAATACCACATTGGTTGGCGTATTATTTACTGCATCATTATTTTTTCCACAAAATAATTGTAACTTGTAGGTGTATCCAGGAATCGTACACAATTAAATAGTTTAAAACCGTATTGTGTCGTTTCTGTGTATTATATTAACGTCCAATAAAATGGCCTCTAAAGGGAACAATACTTTCATATACACATACATCTTTTTAGGAGAGTAATATTGCTTGAAATTACAATTTAATTCATCTATAAGCCCCCTTATTTTGCCAATACGATCTGCAGGATCTGTAGTTTGGTTGTCAGAGAAATGGAGAAATTGTAGAATTAACTCGAATCTATTCCTACTCATAATGGTTCCAGGAAATCGTTGTCCCATAATTTTGTCTTTACTCCAATAATAATTAATTTTTGGCAGCTTTACCAGTCTCATATATAGCAGAAGGCCAAAAAAAACGTTTAATTTCATATTTGTCAGTTGGTGTCCAAGAATGTGAACGAGCTTCTACTTCTTCTTCTTCTCGTAGCACTACAACCCGGAGTGGGTCTTGGCTGACTGCACAACTTGCTTCCATCGTGAACGGTCGTCCATAGTAGTTGGGTCAGTGGGTAGCCCCATTGTTCTTAGATCTAACCATATATTGTCTCTCCATCGCATTCGTGGACGTCCTAAGGGCTTCCTTCCATATTAACTTGGCAAGGCGGTTATTAGGGAGTCTATGGACATGGCGAGCCCTTCTTAGACGTTGCGATTTAATCTCTTGGACTATGTCGCTCGCTCTATACATCTGCTTGACCTCAGCATTTGTTCTCATTCGGTATTGATTGCTATTAATGTCGTGATAAGGCCCAAAGATTCTTCTGAGGATTTTCCTCTCAAAACATCTAAGTTTTCTGTCAGTTTCTTTGATCAGGGTCCACGTCTCACACCCATACATGAGCACCGGTCTAATCACCGTTTTATATATTCTAATCTTTGATGTTCGTGTTAGGCTTTTAGATTTTATAGTATTGTGGAGGCTGTACATACATCTATTTGCTGCCTGAATTCTTCATTTAATCTCTTCCGCGATATCGTTATCTGCAGTGATTGTTGCTGCGAGATATTTAAAACTCTCCACTCTTTCAAAGTTATATGGGTCTATTGTAACATTTTGCCCTATTCTATCTCGTCCCTTTTGTCTGTTGATGCACATGTATTTGGTTTTCTCTTCGTTTACCCTTAAACCAGTTTTCTTTGCCTCTACCTCCAATTTATTAAAAGTTTCCTTCACATTGGTGACTGTGTTTCCCACAATGTCAATTTCATCTGCGTATGCTAGTAGTAATTTTGGTCCATTTACTGTCAGTAATTCTGTTTTAAGTTGTGCTGCTCTTACTACTTTCTCCAGGATGATATTAAAAAGGAGAGGTGACAACGCATCTCTTTGTTTCAGGCCACTGCTTATTTCGAAAGATTCTGAGAGTTTGTTACCTATCCGTACTCTGGATCTACAGCTATTCATACATAACTTAACAAGCTGGATAAGTTTTTTTGGAACTGAAAGTTCTGACATTGCATTCCACATCTGATCCGTTTTAATGCTGTCGTAGCTTGCCGGAAATCTATGAAGAAATTATGGATAGTTCTATTGAATTCCCATCCTTTTTCAAGCAGCTCTTTTAGAGTAAAGATCTGATCTATGGTCGATCTATGTTTTCTGAAGCCGGCTTGGTATTCCCCCATAAAATTTTCTACGAACGGTGTCAGCCTACTTAATAGGATGTTCGGTAAGATTCTAGATGCCGTATTAAGTAGGGAGATGCCTCTATAATTAGAGCACCTGGTTTTGTCTCCCTTTTTATGGATGGGGATTATTACACTTTCGTGCCATTTTGTTGGTATTTTCTCTTCGTTCGATATAAGTGTTATTAGTTTGTGTATTTGTCTATGTAGAGTTTCTCCTCCGTACTTAAGGAATTGAGCCAGTATATTGTCAGATCCTGGAGCTTTTCTGTTCTTCAATTTGTTAATTGCTTGCAATGTTTCATCTATTTTGGAGTCCTCTACCGGACGAATCTGAACGAGCTTGTGGTTTATCATCTTTTTCTAGTATAGACTGTGTTGCAAATACATTTGTCTCATTTGCTCTCTTTTCAAAAAGATTTTCAGCAACCAAAACATTATAAAAATCTTCAAGAGGGGCTTGCCTCAAATCATTTCCATGATGAACTTGCTTAGTTTATATTATTAATAGCAACAACATTATTTAAAGAATTAGCCTAGCTTTCGGAATCAGAAGTAATAATTCGTCGCTTTCGAGATTTGGATACATGCAAAATTTCATTTTCAGAGTCTTCTTCATATGAGGCATCTATTTTACGTATACCATTGCTAGAAAGCTCTTGTTTTTTATTATTACAAACACTTGCTGCTCGTAAATCAAATCGTTCAATATCTGTTTCAGTTATAAAAAACTAGTCTATCATACCAAAAATCTCTGCAAAACTTTGATCTTCATTGTTCACCTTCATAGTTCGGAATTTTGTCAATAATAGGAACACAGAATAATACGGAACAAAGAAATAAAAAAACACTGTTACTGCATCCACTTTAAGACAAGAACTGATCTGTTGTTTCTTGTTAAAACCGCATGGGCATTATAATCACAAAGGGGAGGGAACTAGTGAGAGTGGGATGACTGGCATTGTAACTGACGCGGCGTGGTACAACGTGTGATGTATTCCTCTTTAGGACTGTTGGACATAACATAAAGCTACTTACGATAGGTTTTATTTATTTATTAAGCTTTATAAGGATATATAAATTAACATTATTTCAGTTCACATGTAGTCCATAACCTAAGTCTATTGTCATGTGTGGTTGTCATGTCACCGCTGTCACTTGTGGGCCAAGTGCAACGTTGCCAAGTATATATGTACATGAAAACCATACATAACACGTCCCCTTTAATAAAAACAAAATAAACAAAAATTAATTCACATAATATATCATAAGTACATAAATAACATAATTCACAAATATATCAATAGGTAAATCTATCAGGAGGGCGAATGACTCTACCACTTCTGGAGGTTTTCAAACCAGGTGAAGATGATGTAGAAGGTACATTAATGTCATTGATGGGTGATGTTCTATTAGATGTTGAAGGTACATCAATATCTTTGATAGTCTTATTTGTTTTACAGTCTCTTGTATCATCAGGTACTGGACAAAGAACTGTTATCATATTTCCCATACTTGTCCTTCCAGTAGTCACAATATCATTTTCATGACTAGCTTTCAGATATGCTTGCCCACAATTTGCAGAAGCATGTTGCTGTGCTTCTGACCGTACAGGCCTAAGATAGTGTCTATTACGTCTATAATCAGTATCATTTACTTTAACCACGTAATCCCTTGATCCTTTCTTTGCCACAACCACTCCAGGGTTCCATTTCCTTTTCTTTTCTTGAAGTAAAATTTGTTGTCCTGATTTTAATTCTGGTAACCTATTTGTTCCTTTGTCATAATAGTGTTTTTGTTTTCTTTGATTTTCTCTCAATTGTGTAAAATATCTTTTATTAGAATGTCTGGGCTTTAGGAATTCCATACTGACTGGTAAGTTGGTTCTGAAATTTCTTCCAGTTAGCAACACACAAGGAGCAGGTAAATTTTGTTTTGGAGTTGTATTATAATCTAATATAGCTAGAAATGGATCTTTCTTAGTTTGTACAGATTTTAAAAACAAGTTTTTTATTGTTTGTATTGTTCTTTCCACCATGCCATTGCTACGATAATATTGTGGACTTGATGTAGTTACTTCAATATTATACATACGGACAAAATTTAAAAATTCATGAGAGCTGAATGGAGGACCATTATCAGAAAATATTTCACAAGGCAGTCCATTACCTAAGTCTATTGTCATGTGTGCTGTCACTTGTGGGCCAAGTGCAACGTTGCCAAGTATATATGTACATGAAAACCATACATAACACAACGGAAAAGTAAATTTCTAGTTAATGGTGCCTTTGAGGGCACCGATGACATCCGTATGTTATTTTGTATTTATGACGAAAAAATTCTCTCAAAAACAAAAATATATATTATATTTATTATTTATTATATATATTAACACAGAAAATCAGATTATGTACAAAAAAAATTTATATTTAATTTTTTACCGATTTACCCATGGCGTTTAACGTGTTAAATGTCTCTTTTAAAACTGTAGGTACCTACTTCAAATGACTGACTAAAAAAATATTTTATTGTAAATTATTCGATGTTTTTATAGACTTAAATGGAATTTTAATTTAAATTTTTATTGTCAGTTTTACCCCATATCACTCCATTCACGTTCGAAGAAGAAGCCAATTCCGGCGATATGGCACAAGTCTCGTGTTCCGTAAGTAAAGGGGATGCCCCGCTAACGTTTGCATGGATCTTTAACGGGAGCCCAATATCAAAACAGACGGGAGTAACAGTAACGACGTTGGGAAAGCGAAGCTCAGTTTTGAATATTGAATCAGTCGATGGAACCTACGCCGGCAATTACAGTTGTCTCGTTACTAACAGAGCTGGAATATCTAGTTATACTGCCGAATTACTAGTAAAGGGTTAGCTTTATATTGATATTGTTCGTTCCATTAAGATTTAACTATATTAAAATTGTTGATTTGTGACACCTTTTATCCCATGGCTTTGCTTTTTACCTTACCGTGTGTCTCTATTATTACCCTGTATTTAACTTTTAATCCTTTGAAGCCCGATTTTTATTAAATTAAAAAAAACAGTACTTTTGTGAAATTTATTTATTTTAGTATATTCTTAAAACAAATTCAGTCAAAATAAATAATGCTGATCCTGAAGTATATCCTGCAGGATGTGGTATTCTCAAGATACCAGCAGGAACATAGCGTAACAAAAAATTAAATGAGAAATAAAAACCAGGTAGCACTTCTTTCTTCCTATTCTTCCTATTGTTTTGCATGGAACGTTGCAAAACAATTTTTGTCGTGTTTGAGACAAAGTCCGACATTGCAAGATCAATATGTCTACTGTGTTCTGCTAACATTTGGTCGTGCTGCAGTTGGCACATCTCAAAGAAGTAGTTCTTTGAAGCAAATGAGAAGACTTTGAGTGGCTCAATTCCAAGGGAATATGCCTTTTAAATTTACTCACTGGTTTTTCTGCTGATGGTCTTCCCCTTTATAATTGTTCTGGAGCTCCAATAAAGCCTCTAATCACAGAGAGCCGGAATTCTTTCAAAGACATACTTTTGGATTGGCTTCTAAGTTAAAATAGAATAAATGCGTTTACTACACGAGCATTCACAAAATAAGAAAATATTCTATGCCACCACTTGTGTAATTTACGATTTACCTCATGAAGACTTTTCAGCTGTCAAATTTGTCAACATTTCTATGTGAGTTGTAGAGCATACCATTTTGTGATCATTCCTCTGTTTACAACTTCGTTTGTTGCTGATTTTGGTGATTGCTAAAAGAATCACACTTCTGCGATCCATCCACTTCTGAATCTGAACCTCCTCGATTCATTTGTTTGTCAGTTTTGAACTCCTTTCTTCTCTTTCTTTTTTTTGAACGGTCCCACTTGCGTAAATTCCGTCCGACAATAAAGATCTCTGAAGATCAATACAGTTGAAGTAGTTGTCAAAGAACACTCCGTGGTGTTTATTTACTAAGACCCTTGTTAGAGTACCATTTACATTTAAGAAGCTTCTTGAAAAGTGTGAGAGAATGGTTCATTCTTAGTAGTGTAACGATACTAGTCTGGATGGGAAGTGGCGGATTAAAAGAGAAATAGAAAATCCAGGTCCAAGAATGTTCACCTTACCCGCCGTCGACCATGTGTTTTGAAGAACACAACGGTAAGCTTTGGACTGTGGGTCTATAGATCTGGCATGGGGGTATATAAAAAAAATTGGAATTTGAAACGTACCAATGAAATTGACAGAATTTTCTAATAAAAGAAAGGGAAAAATAAAGAGCGTCACCTACTCCTTTGTCGAGGGACGAGGAAAACTCGACACTTGACCTATAAGAAAATGGGTTTAAAAAAGATCCCAAAAAAATGACAGATAAGCTAAACCTCTCTAAAAAACCAAAATGGATACATAGTCAAAAAGAAAGAGAAGCCAATACACTTACATTATATTATCGCTCTACATTCCTGTCGGATTTACCTTATTATTAGTTACCAGAAGAAAGGACGATTTGAGAGAGTAATATACAGCAATATTCCGAACTTACGCGATAGCTGGGACCAAGCGATAATCGCGTAAGTCAAATTCGCGTAAGTCAGGATTTAATTTCGTATATTTATGTATATAAATTATTTTAATTCTGACCGGAAGATAAGAAAAAATAGCAATTTACACAAATTTCTTTATTAATAATCTTAGGATATACAAATCTAAAATTGTCAATTTAATTTATTTTATAAAATCTAACAAAGTTAGTTTGACGACTCCAAAGATTTTTTTTCTCCCGCAAAATTTCTTTATAGCAGGCTAATAATTTTTTATCCCTTGTTTGGTGAAGAAATGCGCTCTTCGTTGTGATCTATATTTTCTAAAATTTCTTTTCAATTAAACAGAGGCCTTCAGTCAAGTTTATAATGGTCATTTCATCCTCAGATTGAACTGGATCCAAACACTCAAGCTCTTCAATGTATTGTTCTTCCTCGTGCATTTCTATGAGGTCATCTATTGTCAGCTCCTAATTGTGGGAATTCAACAGTTCTTCAACGTCATTACTATCAACTTCTAAATTTATTTGCTGGGCAATATCAACAACTTCTTTAAACATTACTAACTTCATTTTTTCAGAAACAACACTTTTATTATAACTTCATCATGCTCTGGTATCAATTCCATTTCAGTGTCAGTGATGAAAAAAAAGGACACAGTTTTTTCCAAACGCCATTCAACGTTTTTTGTGAAACTTCATTCCAAGATTCTCCAATGATTGTCACTGCATCTAACACGTTGAATTGTTTCCAAAAGTCTTTAATAGAGATCTTGTCGGTTTTTCTTATACCTTCATGGAGGTGTGCAAATGATCGTCTGGTGTAATAAGCCTTGAATGTTTTAATGACTCCCTGATCCATCGGCTGAAGTAAACTGGTTGTATTAGGTGGCAAAAATTCAACTTTCACACGTGGGTCAAATCTAGTTAAAGTTGCAGGAATATGATCTGGAGCGTTGTCGATAATTATCATCTCTTTAAATGGAATTTGTTTAGATTGAGACAATAACGTTTAACTTGATATGAAATGATGACCAAACCAATTTTCAAAAAGGAAAGCTGTCACCCAAGCTTTACGATTAGACGTCCAAATTAAAAGGCAAGCTAGATTTAGATTTTTTTTAGTGCTCTTGGATTTTCTGTCTGAATCACCAGCTGCATTTGACCCCACCATTACTGTCAATCGATCTTTGGCAGCCTTAAAACCTGGAAAGGTTTACACTTCACTTGCGATGAAAGTTCTCTTAGGCATCTTCTTTCAAAACAGGCGAGTCTCATCTACATTGAATATGGTTTGTTTGGTACAGCCACATTCATATTTTATGGCTCTTAATCTCTGTGGATAACAAGACGCAGTCTCTTTATCAGCACTTGCCGCTTCTCCGTTTTCTTAATGCTATGCCAATTACAGCGACTTTTGAATCGGCTGAACCAACCGTTACTAGCTTTAAACTGTTTATCCTTAGCGATTTCTCCAGCATCCTTTTTCAATCTCTCAAAAATTAGCTTAGCTTGGGAGCACACTGTATTCTGATAAATAGGAAAATTTTTCACATTTACCTCACTATCACACCATTATTTTAACAGTGTCTCCATTTCGGCGATAATACCATGACGTTACTACGTGGATTTACGTCACAGCTTCGGAATTTTCCTTGCCCTTTATAATTGTTCTGAACGTTGATTCCGATAGATCAAACTTCTTTGATAGTTTACAGAATTCCATTTTTGATTCAAAATCTGTAATTACGTTAAGTTTACATTCCAAAGATAACGTTTTTCTTTTCTTATTTGCTACAGAAGGATCAGTTTTACTTCGTTTGGATGACATCATTGCTCTTTCAAGTCTTCAGTAGATATAAAATAAAAATCCCGCTATAAAAGTAACAAACACCCACTCCGTAAACAAAACTGTAGATAAGAAATACCTAATACAAAATAAATGTGCTGATTTCGTGCGAAAAGTCAAAACATGTACTTTGGATGAGCAATAATGTGTGGGCGGTAATTCTATCTAATCGATAATCAAACAATTGCGTGGCACTCAGATGACGAATCGACAAGATCTGAAAATCGTGTAACTCTGGATTCGATCGCGTAAGTCGAGGTATTACTGTACAAATAATTGTTACTAATTAACAATTTATATTTCTTTATAAGTTCAGCCAAGAAAGTTATTATAGAATGTTGACACATTAGCAAAGATATAAATCAAACAAGGCAAATAGAAAACATACAAAAATGTAAATTTAGACAAATCACGTTTCAAATAAACATACCTAAAATTAGAGGAAATTAGTTATAGCAAAATTATAATGCCCTTACCGGTATTTTAGCTTACTATCTAATAAAAAAATAACTACAAATTAGCTGAACAAAAAGTATAACAATTGAACATACAAATAATTAGTCTGTACACAAAAAATAAAGGTTATTACGGAATACCAAAAATTGAAGGACATACCCTATACAAAAAGCGTAACACTTTACTGCACTAAATTCATATGTAATAAACGTTATAAATATAATCAGGTACTTTTCTTTGGTTCACCAGATAAAAAACATTCTGCCATTGTATCTCTAAACATTTTGACAAGTTTTAAAGTAAATTAAAAGATAGATAGGACTCCAGATTCCACTGACTCTAAATTTATACCATAATTAAAATTCATCACTTAATTTATCTTTGTTTAGCTGTTTACTATCTCTCGAAGTGAAACATATTATTATGTACTTATATATTAGTCGTACTGCACTGTAATATGGATTTTCCCATTTTTTACGGCACACGTACTCAACTGCGGCAAAAAAACAAACCGTCCTCCTAGGTTGGACTCCCCACATCGTACCTCGACGGTTGTCAATATGGAAGTGAATTCATAACAAAATTCCTTCTCTCACCATCTTAAATGGACTCTTATTTATTTCATGAGCAGTTAGACGATGTAATAACTCAGCGAATTCTTTCTAAAAACTTTATAGGCGGGACTGAGATCAAACGAAAGAGTAATTGGCTTATTATAAACATGCTCCAAAATATTTAGATAATCAATCTTAGAAACGCAAAAAGATTATGAATCATTCTCGGTTCCCATATACTACCGTAGTCGTGTAAAAGAGTACTAACTCAAGTACAACTTGGCAACTTTCACTTTGTCTCTGAGATGTGCAAAGAAAGGCGACCGTGCCGATTCAATGAATTTTAATCCAGTCCCTCCCAGGTTTCTTATAAAAATATGTTCTTTTTACCATGTTTCTTGCAGATTATCTAAAATACATATTTTTATATTTAGTGCTGCCTCACGTGACACCTTTTGCCTTTGAAGAAGAAGGAAATTCTGGCGATACAATGCAAGTGTCATGTATTGCGAGCAAAGGAGACTCTCCTATGACTTTTGCTTGGATGTTTAATGGTACTCCATTACCAAAACAACAAAAAGGTATCTCTATAACAACAGTAGGAAGGCGCAGTTCAGTATTAAGTATCGAAGCAGTAGAGGGCACTCATGCCGGCAATTACACGTGTCTAGTGACGAATAGGGCTGGAATTTCGAGTTATTCCGCAGAATTATTAGTAAAGGGTATCTAATAGGTTTTTATATTTTTTGTTTTATGTTTTGTTTGCTTAAACTTCCTCCCATCCTTTCAATTTTACCCTTTTATCCAGTCATTTCACACAACCAATCTTTCCTTAGAAGATTTAATGTTCTAAAACATCGTAAACTACTAGTAAAACTTAAATTTCTATTATATTAAAAGAGAACAAATCTACTTCATATAAAACTTATCCAAGGGATATAACTGATAGTGTAAGAATATTTCTAAGAAAACTAGATTTTGCTAGGAGTCATATTCATATTAATAATGATTGGACAAAGCAAGTTGTTCAACCCCTCTGGTTTTGTTTGGCACTGTACAGGCTGTCATTTTCAGCTTGTAGGCGAAGCAGTAACATCTAAAGAAAATGTCAAACCCTAATGTTGGCGAAACGTCGAGAAATAATCTCTGAAGACAATGGCCTAACAGCCCGAACAAACAGTTTAACCAGGATACCCACTTATACCGCAGATCGTCTTTGTCACAATATCTTGCTGAGATACAGTTTGTTAATTCTGTAAAATTCTTGAATGCGAATAGATATCAGATTAGCATAGGCCTTAACGCTGCTATTAATCAGGTTAACTTAGGCTACAGTATATTACCAATAAAGAAGCGTTTTTTTTCAATCTCGAAAGAAAACTTCATGCATCTTCACAATTGCTACATAACTATGCAAAAATCATACAGGGCTATGCGGCTGACGACAAGATTATACAAATGCTATTAAAAATCCGACTCGAAGGACCAAAATATGTACAATTAAGGGTTCATATACATATTCGAAATCATAAAAATAATTGCAGAGTTTAATTAAGTTAATATTGTCCTGAAGCTAGTTTCTTGTGGCATCTTAGTACTATTACTATTGTTATTGGGAATAAGCCTCAATTTAAGATTAAAATAAATTTGTTTTTGACGTCCTATTTTCCGAAGAGGACATCAAAACGTCAAAAATAAACTTATTTTAAACTTAAATTGTGGCTTATTCGCAATAAAAATACTAATTGAATTATACTCATCAATATTAATGTTATCTACACTCGATATCGGTAGTCACATAAGCGGTTATCACATGCGGTGGTTTCTCATTTGAGCTCAATTTGTCTGTAAGGGATTCACGTGTAAACATCACTTTTTTTTAATTAGTTCACAAGGAGAAAAGGGCGTCTATGGTAGCCGACGGTTAAGAAGAGAAAAAACGTTTCTATTCTATGGTAAACGGCAATCGAGGGAGTGATTTTTTGTTTTGCATACTCCAAGAATGTCTGCGTTTCTAGAGAGTGGGGATTAAAGTTAGGAGTAGGAATTATTGCTAAGGGTTAGATTAAACAATGATTTTGAAATTGAGGTTAGGAATTATAAATTGATACAGCAAAAAATATAATTTTGTTTTTCGTATGTAAAAAATTTAATACTCGTTAGACGGAATGTTGTTTTGTTTTGATAGATGTCATAGAGTCAAAATTTGCTCTTCTTTTCCACTTCAGGTCAAAGAATTTTACTTGAATATAATATGAATTGAGTTAATCTATAACTATTGCGTCTTTCAGATTATCTAAAATACATATTTCATGTTTAGTTTTACCCCACGTGACGCCTTTTGCCTTTGAAGAAGAAGCAAATTCTGGCGATACCATTCAAGTATCGTGTACTGCCAGCAAAGGAGACTCACCTATGACTTTTGCTTGGATGTTTAACGGTAATCCACTGATAAAACAACAGAAAGGAATCTCTGTAACGACAGTAGGAAGGCGAGGTTCAGTATTAAGCATCGACGCAGTAGAAGGCTCTCATGCCGGGAATTACACGTGTCTTGTGACGAATAGGGCTGGAATTTCGAGTTATTCCGCAGAATTATTAGTAAAGGGTATCTAATAAGTTTTATATTTTTTGTTTTATGTTTTGTTTGTTTCAACTTCCTCCCTTCCTTTCCAATTTACCCATTTTCCGCTCATATTTTACAGCCATTCTTCTCTCTGACTATATAATATTTTAAAACATCATTTTACTGCCGTAAATGCAATACGTAGAATCACTATTTGTCATGGCATGATTTTTAGAAGACATATACATGCAGTCGACAGATTATAGGTTGCATTTATCTTCTATGAAATAAATAATTATATATTTGATATAAAATGAACATGTATATTCGATATTCACTGCACATCCGCTCAGTCGACAAATATATTCATGTGACTGAACTTATTTTATAAACTAAATCTAATGTATTATTTTTATTATTACAAGAAGAAATGTAATATTCTATTGTTACAATGTAAAGTGATCAGTAAGAAAATATATTTTCTTTGAAACATATTGGCGCCGCCAAAGATCGAATTAAAAATTTCCTAGAATTCATGATGGACACGTGAGTAGGGCTACATTTCATCACTTACGGCGCGATGACTAATTTCATTTAATGTTTGCCAGACTATAACTAATGGCGTTAATTTGAATCTCACCCAAATCGTTCAACGATTTTGGGAAATCCAAGATATAACCTTGTACTGCAGATTGTTTTTATCACAATGTCCTGCTGAGATACAGTTTCCCAATGCTGTAAAAATTTTGAATACGAATATATATTAGATTAATATAGGATTTAAAACTGCTATTAGTCAGGTTAACTTAGGCGACACTATCTTACCAGTGAAGAAGCGTTTTTTTCAATCTCGAAAGAAAACTTCATGCATCTTCACAGTTGCTACATAACTATGCAAAAATCATACAGACTATGTGGCTGACGACAAGATCATACAAATGCTATTAAAAATCCGACTCAAAGGACCAAAATATGTACAATTAAGGGTTCATTTACATATTCGGAATAATAAAAATAATTTCAAAGGTGAATTAAGTTTATATAAAACACTCACCAATATTGCTGTTATCTACACTCGAACACCGCTTTTTTTGTTTTGCATACTTCAAGATTGTCTGTGTTTCTAGAGAGTGGAGATTAAAGTTAAGAGTTGGAATTATTGCTAAGGATTAGATTAAACAATGACTTTAAAATTGAGGTTGGAAATTATAAAATTAATACAGTAAAAAATATAATTTTGTTTTTCGCATGTGAAAAATTTAATGTAACAATAACTGAAAACTTTGTTTTCAAACTTGCACAAAATTTATTTTAACCTCTTATCACTACAGCTGTTTCGGCTGATTGCCTTTCTCAAGTGTTTATTGTTACATAAAATGAATTTCCATCAAGTAACGGTCGAATCCATCAATTATTACGAAAAATATAATACTCGTTAGAAGGGGATGTTGTCTTGTGATAGATGTTGTCATAGAGTCAAAATTTGCTCTCCTTTTCCACTTCGAGTCAAAGTATTTTACTTGAGTATATTATGAATTGAGTTAATCTATGGCTATTGCCTCTTTCAGATTATTTAAAATACATATTTCTTGTTTAGTTTTACCTCACGTTACGCCTTTTGCCTTTGAAGAAGAAACTAATTCTGGCGATGCCATTCAAGTATCGTGTACTGCCAGTAAAGGGGACTTACCTATGACGTTTGCTTGGATTTTTAATGGTACTCCATTATTAAAACAACAAAAAGGAATATCTGTAACAACAGTAGGAAAGAGAGGATCAGTATTAAGTATCGACGCAGTAGAAGGTACTCACGCTGGGAATTACACGTGTCTTGTGACGAATAGAGCTGGAATTTCGAGCTTTTCCGCAGAATTATTAGTAAAGGGTATCTAACAGGTTTTATATTTTTATTTTACGTAATTTTTGTTTGCTTCAACTTTCTACCTTCCTTTCCAATTTACCCATTATCCACTCATATTTCACAGCCATTCTTTACTCTGACTATATAATATTCTGAAACATGATAAACATTCATCCTTATAGTAAATATAAAAGGTAATATTAACACTAATACTAAAATATGAATTTCTGTAATATTAAAACAGAAAAAAATTAAATATCAGGGGCTTTACTAAATATAAAAGTCATCCATGGGATATAACTTCTAGTGTACGAAAATCTCTTGAGAAAACTAAAAGATTTTGCTAAGACTGGTTATTCAGCATGTATATGAGGATTTTACCGAGAAAATATTATCGAACCATGTGCAGACAAGACGTACAGGTACTTTACCAAATTATCAAGCATATATAGGGTGAATTGTTATCCCTATTGCTTACAACACTTGAACTAAACTCTTCAATTATTCTATTACATTCATATAAAATTTGCGAATCGTACAATCAAATACCCAGTTATGATTACAAAAAAACTCCAATGTTATTCGCTATAAAGCGAGGTGTTCTTTGTACTCGATACAGTTATTAATCTGTTCTAGTTAGTGCTTTTTTGCTTAAAGTCTCATAGATTGTGATTGGTAACGAAAGATGGATGTATCACTATACTTTAGATTCAAATAATTTCTGTAGTATCGTAATATTCTCTACGAATTCATGATAAGATATAATAGCGGCTTCCCACGGTCGGCGATATTACGGACGTAAGCGGACCAGCACGCACCACGCACCGTGGGAAGGTGGTCTCGTCCGTGGTAGCGCAGGCACGTCTGTGCTGGTCCGTCCTATCCATCTAGAGTCGGTAACATCAAAGGTGCGGTACATGCTCGTGCGACGCGATCCTAGCGCGTCTGTGTTTTAACAGACGACAAGTGCAAGTCAGAAGTTTTTCATTCGCTGATACGAGTAGTTGTCTGTAGTGTTGTTAAAATTTGTTTTGCAGTTTTTTGCTAAAAAATGGAATGGACAAACGAAGTTATTTTTGATTTTTTAAATTTGTATCAAAATGAAACAAATTTATGGAATTCTACGGCACCAGAGCATAAGAAACGGAACCGATATATACGATGTATGGAACCGAATAAAAAATCAATTGAAGAATAGTACTATTTCGATTAAAGAATTAAAAAAGAAAATAAATAATTTAATGCCGAATTGAATGTTTACAAGCCTGAGTGGCCTTTTTATGATATAATCAAACAATACTGTCACGGACCTACACAGACTGTCACGGACCGTAGGAAGAGCTCTGTCTGCGGTGCGTTCTCGTCCGTGCTTATCGGCTGTCCGCGATGATCTGTTGAATCGCCGATCGTGGGAAGTCACTGTAAGACATCGAGAGTTTTTACAGATGAAAATACACTCCACTCAATGTTTTCTGACTCCCTCCAATTTTTTTGTTACTCAGTATAATTTTTCTTGATTCATTCCTATTTATTGACCATGCCTTTCAAAGTCATCTTCCAATGATCTTCATGTACTCTGTGACGCGGATTTTCGCTGCCGCCTACTTAATCTAGCTTCAGAACCCTCTTTTCGCAATGTCGCCGCTTAAAATCCGCTTCCTGAGCTCGTTGTTCTTCATTTTGCTAAGCTCTAACTTCCCTTCTTCGAGTATTCCTAGCTTCAATATTTCGTTCTTAATCGGTATTATATTTTAAGGTGTCACCAGGCAAAATTTTAGGATGAGAAAACTTTCAACAAAATTAAAAATTAAATTTTTAAAATGAATTATCAATAAATCAACGGTATCACTTCAAAAAACAAAATTGATGATTGATTAAGACTCAGTAGGTTGAAATGTCAGTTGGTAGTTCAGATCTCTCTCCTAGATGGCGCTAAATGTTTCAATGTTTTATATAAATAATTATTAGTAATTAAGTACCATTAAAGTCAATTTAAAAAATTGTTTAAAATCCTTTATAAAAGGTATATAAAAAAATGCCCTAAACGGGCTATCACAAACACATTGCAAAACGTTTTCGGATTGATAAATCCATCATCAGTGCAAACCTGAAAGTATATAACCACTTAATTAAAAAACGTTAAATTAAAATGTTGACAAAGGTTAGAGCAAAATGTGGTTAATACTTACGGTTGTACATGCTAGTAGCCACCAAAATATATGGGTCAAAACCCTTTAAATGTTTTAAATTTGTAGTTGTTTTACATTATTAATAGTTATAATTTGTGATGTTTAAGTTACCGTTGGATAGGTAACATGGCGACGTATGACTCTACATAAGTAAAATGGTCCTGAGACGAAGTGTCTACGAGGACCTGTTGATAACAACTGATCAAAATGACATTGTTGAGATGTTAGGACGGATGTTGTGTCAGAGCAGTCAGTGTAACTTACGGTAGTTGTCTAAAAATGACAGATGTCAGCCTTATTTAAAATTGAAAAAAGTTAAAATTATAATAATGTAACAGTATCAACCATCAATATTGTAATCTGTATTGTAAATTAATCAAATAGCTATATTTGAAACATTGAAAATTGGTTTTTTAAAAATTAATGTGGGTCAACTGGAATTTATAAAATTTTGTAGGATTGATAGGCAACCAACTATACATGTGTAAGGATCTATTTATTTTAAGCTAAAGATTTTGTCAAAAGGCCCTGTATGTTGTGAGACATTTGGTACCTAGAAAATGGTAAAAAGGCACATGTGGGAAGATGGGTCCTAAAAGATTTATTATTGAGTATTGATGTAGTAGGTGGAGGTGTGTTTAGATTATGTTGTTGAGCTGAAATGTAAATATGATAAGAATGTGATTGTAATGTGGTGTTCGTGTAGTACTCAACTTAAAACTTAAGTATGGAAGGCCCTCTATGTCAAAAAACCACATTTGGTACCTAGTAAAGATAAATAAAAAATTTTTAAGTTATAAGTAGTACATGAACATGAATTACTGGTTATGTGTGTAAAGTAAAGATGGTAGGTTGTTTATGTGTGTGGGCAAGTATGCCAGACTAACAGAAAATTGATGGCTGAAAGATGGTTAGGTGTGATATTGTTCCTACATTGCTCAAGTTATAACTCAAGAAAACAAAAGGCCCTATATGTTAAAAGGAACATTTGGTGCCTAAGAAATATAAAAGTAAAAAGGATGAGTTATAAGTTAGAGTGTAGGTAGGTGTAAAGTTAATAGGCTTATGGAGTGTATTGTGACAATATGTGAAACTGTAAGAGTAGTTGTGTTTAAGGTGGATCTATCAAGTTTACTAAAGATGTGTGATGTTTAAATGTTATTGTGAAGATGAAGGTAAAAACTACAAAAGACTGAAGACCCCAGAGACCCGAAAACCAAATCCTGAGGGAAATTGGATGAGTAAAAAGAAGTTGTAAATGAAAATGAAAAACGCAGTATGAAAAGGTGAAGATATGTGGTTGAGTGGGTGATGGTGTATATTAATGAAAAATTGTTTTTGGAGAGGAAGTGGAATGATCTGCTCTGAATTTATTTTGTTGAGAAGGAGCATGGAGAATATTGGGTATTAGGTCAGATTTGACGTTTGGATGCCTAGACAGAAGTGAGGAAAGAAGGGGAGTTGGATATATTGAACAAAGTTTGAGAGGGCTAAGGATGATTAGTAGGTGATAAGAGAAGGATGAGAATTTAAATACTAATGAAGAAGTAAAGTTTGAAAATGAGTTATGAGAATAATTGACGGTGGAGCGGAAGAAAGTCTCGATTGAATGAAACATGGCGATTGACACAATTTGGACTTCTCTATTTTTCTTTAATGATTTCTAGGTCTTCATATAGGTCTAGTTTGAGAAAGTTTTTTTGTGGATGTTGTAGAATAAGTGAGACATCTTCTGGGATATTGAGAGTGTGGTTGTGTTCTTTAAACACACCTCCACCTACTACATCAATACTCAATAATAAATCTTTTAGGACCCATCTTCCCACATGTGCCTTTTTACCATTTTCTAGGTACCAAATGTCTCACAACATACAGGGCCTTTTGACAAAATCTTTAGCTTAAAATAAATAGATCCTTACACATGTATAGTTGGTTGCCTATCAATCCTACAAAATTTCATAAATTCCAGTTGACCCACATTAATTTTAAAAAACCAATTTTCAATGTTTCAAATATAGCTATTTGATTAATTTACAATACAGATTACAATATTGATGGTTGATACTGTTACATTATTATAATTTTAACTTTTTTCAATTTTAAATAAGGCTGACATCTGTCATTTTTAGACAACTACCGTAAGTTACACTGACTGCTCTGACACAACATCCGTCCTAACATGTCAACAATGTCATTTTGATCAGTTGTTATCAACAGGTCCTCGTAGACACTTCGTCTCAGGACCATTTTACTTATGTAGAGTCATACGCCGCCATGTTACCTATCCAACGGTAACTTAAACATCACAAATTATAACTATTAATAATGTAAAACAACTACAAATTTAAAACATTTAAAGGGTTTTGACCCATATATTTTGGTGGCTACTAGCATGTACAACCGTAAGTATTAACCACATTTTGCTCTAACCTTTGTCAACATTTTAATTTAACGTTCTTTTTAATTAAAGTGGTTATATACTTTCAGGTTTGCACTGATGATGGATTTATCAATCCGAAAACGTTTTGCAATGTGTTTGTGATAGCCCGTTTGGGGCATTTTTTATATACCTTTTATAAAGGATTTTAAATAATTTTTTGTGATATATGGTATACAGCCAGCTACAGGAACTTAGTTTCCTAGTGGAATTTTAAAGTCAATTTATTAATTCGAACATTTGCCTACAGTTTTACCTCACGTAACACCATTTACATTCGAAGAAGAAGTGAATTCTGGCGATATGGCCCAGGTATCGTGTTCCATAAGTAAAGGTGACACTCCCATGACATTTGCGTGGATGTTCAGAGGAGTACCGATCAAGCAGGCTAAAGGAATTAACATCGGGAGTTTCGGTTCGAGAAGTTCCGTTCTTAATATTGAATCAGTGTCTTGGCAAAACGCTGGAAACTATACGTGTTTGGTATCCAACAGGGCTGGAATTTCTAGCCATTCTGCCGAATTATTAGTCAAGGGTATTTACTGCAATATACTGTTTAGTGATATATTTTTGTGTATTTCCTAAATAGCTAGACATTTTTACTATTTACATCTTATATGGGCTATTATTGGAATGGAATATTCAAATTTGAGAACTGTATAATGCACCTTTATTTCCATTATATTTTCAATTTTCCTTTTTCCCGCAGTCTTACCACACGTCACACCATTCGCGTTTGAAGACGAAGCAAATTCGGGCGATACTGTCCAAGTATCTTGTACTGCTAGTAAAGGAGACAGTCCTATGACGTTTGCTTGGATGTTCAATGGCGTTCCAATAACCAAAAATAAAGGCATAAATATAGGAACGTTTGGTTCACGTAGTTCTGTTCTTAACATCGAGTCAGTGACGTGGCAGAACGCCGGAAATTATTCCTGTGTAGTTACTAATAGAGCAGGAATTTCCAGCCAATCGGCGGAGCTATTGGTGAAGGGTATATAACCGTTAATTTTTATTTTTTTTTTTTTAGTTTTCGTTACACCACTCAGAAATTTATCCTCCTTATACCTAAATAATTCATTGGAGAGCACACAAACTGCTATAAAATTTTAAAGTTGATAATAAAATAGTGGTGTTTACAGATTCTAAGAATATACTTAACAATTTTAATTGACTAGTGATTTTACCTGTCGCGTTGTTGTGTGACGGGTGATCCAATCGATTGCCATCTAAAGTCAATCCACTCAATTTTTTCTGACTTCCTTTTATTTTGTCGTATTTCTCACCAATTTTTCTGACTTCTTCAAATTTATTCTGACTCCCTCCAATTTTTTCTGACTCACCTGAATTTTTCCTGACTTCCTTGTCTTAGGAAATCGTTATAAGTGCAAAAACCAGCGTAGCTCGAGCTTAGCAAGTCATTTTTGGGAAAGCTGAAGTTTTGTGTTATATTTTTTAGGTATCACCATACTTGCAGCCAAAATTTTAGGATCAACAATGTTTCAAAATAATTAAAAATTAAATTTTTAAAATAATAAACTTCTTGCCTGTAAATCAAGTCAATATAAAGTGAAGCAAATCTTTAAATTATTTTGCTTAATAAATCTTACCTTAAAATTAAAGTAGTTAAAAATTAATTACTGATGAAGTAATAAAATTTTCGAGTAAGGGTAATTAAATCATCAATTTGTAGAATGAATAAGCAGTAACTGAACCGTATCGTTTCAACAACAAAATATGATTGAATAAAACTCAGGACGTTGAAATGTTAGTTTATAGTTGAGAGTTTTTTCCTAGGTGGTCGTAGAAGTTATAGTCCCGGACAAACTGGGTTTTCGCTAATTATGAACGTTCCTTTGAAAAACACTTTTTTAAAAAAGCACAAACACTTAAAATAAAATAAATATACATAGACGGTTGCGTTTGGAATTAATTTGAGCATCTTACCATTCTCTAACACGTGTTTCCGGGTCTACCCGTCATCAAAGAGACTTGTAAGAAGACTCAAATCGAAACGAAACGACCAGTATGGAAATTATAGGAAAATAATTACCAGCGTATGCTATTAGCGACCTCTAGTGAGGGTTACAATTCAAAATAGACTATTCAGACTTCAAATACAAATATATCAGATTAATATCATACTAATGTCAGACTGTCAGACTAAAAAAGGTGGTTTGACAATGCTTTATTTAGACTAATTACACTTGCCGAATTTCCTGTTCTAGTACGTCGCAATTGATGTTGCAAGGCTCCTGAAGATTCGGTGCTGCTAAGCGGTAACTTCTTATTGAATTCGCATGATTGAACCTACTGGATTCTAGCGGTCGTTGTACTATAACTACTCCATCTTCTGAAGAAGTTTTGTGAGGGACGAACAAAACTTTTGCATTGGCTTCTTCTGGAGTTCCGTTGCTAGAATTTTGTACTTGTAACATATATAAGCCAGATAATTTTAATAAAGATATATACAGGAGTTGTCCAAAAATGGTCACTTCTATGGTTCCACACTTTTGGGTTAGTTGTCTCCAGTCTCCTGTTAAATTTAATTGGTGCAGAATATTCTTTGCTTGGAATTAATGGTTAATGTCAAAAATGAATTCATTGAGATTCTTGTTGATATTATTATTTCTTGGTTGTGTGTTAGTAATGTATATCTTTGCTTGTTCCAGGTTGAGGACAATTATTCCTGGTTTCTTCAGTCTTGGTCTTCAATTCCTTTCCGATCGTCAGGGTAACCTTTGGGGAAGGTTCAGAATTAGTTTTTGACTTAGGTTGATGTTTTGTATTTTTCTTATGAACTGTAACTTTTGATGTCTTAACAGTCACTTCCTTATTTTCTTTATTTTATAAGTGTTCTAGAGTATTGCGGAAGTAGTTTGTTTCTGGTGACTGTTTTAAAGGTATACATTTTTGTGCTTGGCTTACACGTAATGGGGACCTGTCTCGATTTGTTTCTGCTTTCTCCTTGTTTTCTTATATATGCCGGTTAACTTCCTTGTATAGTTCTTTAGTTATCTCTCTATGATTTTGTACATAATTTTTTAGTATTGTTTTTTCTATGTCAACATCAAATGGATCTCCACGTCGATATGTCCGTTAAGATATCAATAGGTTCTAACTGACTTTTTGGTCGTTGTTTCTTCATTGCCGCAATAAGCACACTTTAATTTCCGAGCAATTATTGGAACTACCTTATCAAAGATCTATACCATACTGGTATAGGTCTTTGTATAGGTAGTTCCAATTTAACCCAGGAATGTTTAATGGGGTTGAGATTGAGTTGTCTAGTCTATCTATCTAATTCCCTTTCTTTCCATATATTTTTTACAATATTCCAAACCAAACCATAACCCAGCAACCGCAAAATATAAATTGCTGTTGAATAAAAATCTGATCATATCTTTCTTTTGCTATTCTCTAAATTCCTCTTACCCATTGAAGCAAAACGGCTGTTTATCAGGAATATGTTATTCTCTGCCAAGTGGTTCCGAATCATTTGATACTGCAAATAATTTAATTAACAAAGATATTGATAAGATGATCTGTTTGAAGGCTATTTTTGTCTGTGTTCAATTCCTGTTTTTTGTTAGTAAGTGGTAGAGTCTTTCGGGAGGAGATCCTTGCTTCTAGGCTCCTGTTGATTCTCCAAGAAATGGGACATCTGTGTTTGTTAATTGTCAAGGTAAGAGAGCCAAGGATTCGGAGTTGGCGATCTTCTTCAATGTGTGGGTTGTTGGTTCTGATTTGTTTATTCTGGTACTGCCAGGATGTCAAATAACTTCAGTTTTTAGGAACGGTTTTTCAGAATTATTTAGGATATTTAGTGGCAATCGCGTGAATGATAACTGTGGCTATCAGCCTAGCTAGAGCAGATAATGTGCAATCAGATTGTGAAACTACAAAAAACCATTTGTCCTGCAAGTTGTTTAATTTTGATTCAGTCATAAGTAGTACTTTAAAAGGTATCAAACTATTCGTCAGAGAGTTTCTTCTGCCGAAGGTCGACAAGATTGTTATGGGAAAAGGAATTTTGTATTTAGTAGATCTTTTCTATCGCAAGGTGTTTTGCAATTCGGGTTGTAATGGGTTTGATGATAGTGAGATTGTGGATGATGGCTAAAAGATAGTACTTGACTTTTCTACAGAGCTTGCAGATAATTTTCCTCTCAATTGAATGTATTCTATTCCTCTGTCTTCGCTTAGGAAAGTTTTTTAGGTGTCTAGGAAGTTTATTATTTCAAGGCTTGAAATTTACCAGTAAACTCTCCAAAGAGTCTAACTGGTGTTAAAACTGTACTTTGGTGTTTAAAATATCAGCATTACAGTTGAGAGTATTTGTTTCGCAATTAGGTCACTAATTGAATCTTTCTTATAAGCTTTAGGCTTAATTATCGAGATCCTTTGGAAATGCTCGTTGAATAGTATGGTTTGGGTTTCAGTAGGAATAAATGCATTTTTTCATTTTGAGCACCAAAGTTGCTTGTATGTACCTTATAGATTCCCTTGTGGAAATCCTGCTTTTGTCGTCTAAGTGTGAAACTGTGGAGTGGAGTGCTCTATTATTAGAGCACATATGATTCTCGTAGATTTTGCCTAGAGTATTTAAAAGCGAAATACGTTTGAAGGATTCAACATAGTCCCTTTTTTTAGATCATGATTGTGTTTGATATTTTACAATTAGCAGGAAAGAAGCAAAGGTTCTTCGATGCTCGGACTCCAGACAAGATACGATGTAGAAATTGTTTATGCCTCTATTGTGGATGCTATTGGGACTGAGAGAAATATTTTTGCTGAAGCTACAGAGTTCTCTAATGGTGTTTTTATCAACAGTCGTAATGATCGGAGGATCAATGTCTTCGGGATTATTGAATATATAGTTATCTTGGTTTATAGAATGTGATTTTAAACTTTAAGCAGAAGGTTGGTAGATGGAGTGTGACCTAGAATGCAGTTTTAAATTATTGATGGACGTCGTGATTGTCCACTAGAAAATTAAGATTTAGGATTTGTTCTTTGCCTAATTAGGACTTTGAATTAGTGCCAGCATGTACTGTCATTAAACTATCTGTCAAAATACGCAAAGATTAGGAAAGTAACGGGACCAAATAAAATAGCCAATAAAATAATTAAGCTACTCTAAAATTAGATGGAAAGCGAGGAAAATCCTCAGGAACATGAAAACATTTTTAAAAGATCAGACTTTAGTCTCAAGCTCAGAATCCGAATGATCAGATGTTAGTTTTCTCTGTCTTACTCTATGACTGTAAAAGTTGGACAATGGACTCTGAAACAGAAAAAAGAATAGATTCCTTTGAGATGTATATATCAGACAGATGCTCAGAATTCCATGGGCTGCTGAGGTACTTCGGCGCATGAGTAAACAAAAAAATTTACTAAGAATGAATCAAAAAGAGAAAAATGCAATGCTTAGATCATGTGTTGACAGGTGAAAGGTATGAATTATTCCAAATCATATTGGAACGTACAGTAGTAGGAAGATGCCAGAACTAAGAAAGCTGAAAGAGCTGAGAAGATGTTTTGACCGCTTATCCGGAGAAATCTTTCTTGCAGCAGTTTCCAAAAGCTACAATTAACTTTATATCGCCAACCCCTGGAAAAATAGATATTCTCCTTTGAATCTCTTCAACAAAATATGTCGAACATGAAACCTACCGACGCATTGGCCATTTGAAATATTTCCGAGCAAATTAACCATCATATCAGTCTTATGAGGCTGCATTCGAGAACTTACAATAACTAGATGATCCACAATTTAAATTCTACAAGAAAAACATAAACGGATCAAACATAAATGTGTTTTATCGACATTTATTAAATTACAAGACGTTCAACAAAGGTTTTTCTTCTGGCGCATCCGCCAATTCTTCCGTTCCTAGATTAATTTTACAGACAACAGAAACTGTTGCAAGTTTCAAAATTTCAGGCACCAAAAATCGTCATATTGCAATTATATCACATGAATATTGTATCTAATGGAC